TAGGAATACCAATACATTGAAATAAGAGGAGGACATGGATCACGGTCCATGATCTCAATAAAACATAACATTTATTTATTCAAAGATAAATGGCGTATCCCCTAATTGGCGAGGAGGCAAACAAAAGAAAAATTACCAAAAACTTTCCATGTTTTGTACATATCAATGTGCTTAATTATGGGAATTCCTATGTTGACCTCTTCTTAACTCAACGGAAAAGGTCCACGTGGAAAGTCCATACTTTTGGCAGTACGATATCTTTGAAGCTAACACATTTTGAGAGCCCTCGGGATGGACATTGAAGGATAGTTCAGCAGGCTAGATTGCCAAACAGTAAGATAATTAATGAACATTGTTTAACATGGCCATATTCTTCTGCCTGGAGTGTGGATATTTTGTTAGATTTATACTCAAAAAGGCAATAAATAATTTAAATCATAATTGTGCATTTTTAATAAATAATACAATTAAGTTTGACATAAATATTGTTTCGTGGATGATCGGTTGTTTTTTTTTTTTTCTTTTGTTGGTTCATGTGGTACATTGTCTTCTTTATATATAAGTTTCATTGATGTTCTGTTGAATTATTACTATTGTCACATTTTTCTTTTCTTTTGTTCTTTTCTTTCGCTTGTCATGTTATTTGCCACAATGGTTTTGATTTCTCTTTTATGTTTGTTTTGTATGAGAATATATTTACAGCCAAGTTTATTCATCCAATAATAATTTGAATTGCATCCATTTTTTTGTTCACAGATTGTTTTAGAATATTCAGCTAAAGTTGTTGTAGTAATGTTTTCAATAAACTAAATTTAGCCTTTTGTAAAATGAGACTTCCTAGTTAATACCATATGATTTGTTCGTTAGTGTGAAATTAAGTACAAATTGTATTATGACTTTATCAAAAAGTCTTCTTGTGTGTTGGAAAATATCTACATAGTTTAATAAAATTACATCATACAACTCTTAATGTCTAGCTGTTTTTAAACCTGCATAGTAACAAGTAATCCTTATATAAAGGACAGATTGCTGTATGTGCATATGCAATAAATTTTATCCCCTCTCTGATAATGCTTCAGTATTCTCTATCAATTCCAGTTGGTAAGTAAGGAGATCAAATCACCCAAGACAGGAGCATAGTAGTCTAATACAGGACTAGGCAACCTTTTAGCAGCACTTTGAAGTAATTTGGCATGCCGGTCCTATTTTATTAAAATTAACTTGTGTGTGTAGCTGTATGCTGCTTGTTTTATGTACGGGTACTGCTTTTATAGGGTTGTATTTGTGCATATGTGGGCTGTGTTATAATGTGTATGTGCATGAACAGTTTCTGATATTCTGGTATTTGTGGTACCCTTCCACTGCACACTACCAGGGCAAGCCATTACACAGTGCCACACACACTGCTACACTCACACAAAATGCTAAACACACAATCACACTGCTAGACACGAACAAACTGCAAGACACACACACACAGTGTAGCTGTAAAGTTTCAAGTTCAGATTTTAATTTAGTGAGGGTGCTGGCATCTAATGTAAACAAGATAGTTTGTTTAAAGAATAAAGGGGTTGAATATAATGTTGCAGGGTAATAAATATCTTTAGTCTAATTATTTTTAGCTGATAAGCTAAAGCTATGAATTGATCCTTTATTAAAGCAATATGGGCAATCAACAGTTTTGTAAGCAAAATATAATTTTAAAAGGGAGCCTGTCCCTCCTAAACAGGGACACTTGACATGTATTGTATGGATTTATGGAGTCTCTTGGTTGTTTGGTACAGTATGCCTGCTGCAGATACTTGTCTGCTTTAGTGACGCAGCTTTATAAAATGTTAAAACTGAGTGTTTAAAAATTTTTTTTTTTTTTAATAATAATAATAATATTATTATATATCTGGGTTATGTACCCATAGGTTCATGCAAAACGTGGCAAAAAAACAAGTTTGTGTCACACTTTACTCTTAATCTACAGAAACAAATGATTTGGGTGGAAACAGGGTTTTAAAGCAATAGGGAAGCAGTCATAGGTTTTTCAAGAGCGTGTCCCGCATGCTGCGCTGAACAGCCCTACATCCAAAAAGTCCACCAAAAGGGCCTCTGGTAACAAGCTGCTGCTTATCATATCATTTTGTTGTAGGGAGTCTAACAATAAGATTGACCCATACACTTCTTGCACTCTATTGAAGAAACTCTTTGAACAGGCTTTGCTGTATGCTGTAACATGGACTTGTGTATTCTAAGCCAGGAAAACAAACATTGAAAACCATTTGCATAAAACGTTTGTTTAAAACAGTGAGATCTGCATGAGCTATAGAAGAACGTAAACTCAATTGTAGTCTTTGGAATGTTTAGTTTGAATGATTCCATAAATTTATACATTTTGTAAATGTGCAGTTAACATTTTTCTGTGTAAACCAGGAAATCCCAGAGTGCACTTTTTGGGAATGACAAGAATTACTTTTTTGTTTATAATACAAAATATATATCAACATATTTATACAAATATACACATGTGCTTTTGTTTATAAAAAAAAAAAAAACCACTACTATAGTTATATCGATATATAAAGATTATACTCTGAAATAGCCATCTTAGTTTTTACATTAATGCTTTTTAGGTTTGGTTTTTGCTTTTTTTTATTTATTTTTTTATGAAAATGTGATCACAGATATAAACAACACATGCTCTACTTTGTGTATTTGATCTATAAATCAGCTTGGTATGGTAATTATTATTTACTATTTATGTTACTTTGTAATTCTTCTCCAGGTGCATTAAAAAGGTGAGTTTTAATACTTTTTTCCCCTCGCCACACTGCTTCTCTTGAAATTGCCATGCTGCAAAAACCAAATGCTTCTCCAAATCCGCATTTGATTGACAACTGGGTTTGAATCAACTCACATCTAGAGATGTGTTACCCCTGCAACAGAAACATTGCAGTTTTTACAAAATATTAATGTTTTACATTGTTGGGTTAAAACTACAGGGCCACTGCACCCAAACCACTTCATTGCGATGAAGTGGCCTGGGTGCCTTCAGTGGTCTTTTATATATATCTATCCATTGACTCATTGAGCTGGAATATTCTATGGGCTCATTTCAATGCTTGTTGCAATAAGTAACTAACAAACTATTAATCTCTAAAAATGGCTGATGAGTGAGTTAGTTTCTGGTAATTAGAACTGCCATAACGTTTAATGTGTCCCACAAAGGTAATTAGGAGACAAGAATCCTAACAGTAGGTTTATTGCTAACACCCGTTTGTCATACTAGATGGTAAAAAATTACTAATAGGTCAGAGGCATTTGATATTTTTTTTAATTGACTTTGCATCGTTTTTGGAAAATGAGATACATAGTTAACACATACACATAAGCTAAAACCTCAGTACATTGTATAGACTGCTGTTCATGAATCCCTAAAACAATTACTCAACCTAATGTGTACTGTATTCATTTGTATTTTGACAGACCTACTGTGGGAGTTGAAATGCTTTAGAAATTACATATATAGAAAGAAAGGGATACTTCCTATCTGTATTTAGTCAACTGATAATCATAATTTGTGGAGAGGTACCACCACTGAGATCTGAAGGGGTTTTAGCCCTTAAACAAAAAGAATATGTAGAGGGTCAGTATTCAGTATAGAGGCTATAATCTAGGTTTCTATTGAGACAATATTTTGTTGAAAAAATGTATAATAATAAGGGTTATTAGTAGAGGGTTATGGCAGTCCAATGGAACTCTGTCGATATAGATTCATAAATTTTAGGCAGCAGGAAGGGTGCAAGTGCCGATTGGTCCCTATTATAGTCTGAAATTAGCAGAACTGCTAGTCCCTACATATTTGACTTGTTCCCCTCATGTTGTAACCAACGAAATGGAAGCAAATCACTGCCACAACAATATGAGAATGGTTTCAGAAAATAGAAACCATGAGAGTGATGGAAGAACTTCATTACTCTTTTACTAAAAAATATGCCTTATATGCAAAAGTATAGGAACCATGGCTGAAGTTGATACAGAATAAACCAGTGGTTAGAGACCCAACATAAGTGTAATGGGTACCAGGTCGGGCTCCCCCACCAATATGCCTTTCCCACCGGTCACAGGTGAAACAGAGCCTTTGACACAAAGAGAATCGAATACCAGCAGCATTGTCTGCTTATTTACTCTGAATACTAATATAGATGGAAAATAGTTAGCTCAATACAATGCATCCTCAGCTACAACCTTATAGGTTATCCAACAACACAACATATGGCATCCCACTGGATAGGGCTCTCCTGATCTGTCATTGGCCCACCTCCCACCCCCTGGCAGCACACAACCTATTTTCTTTTCAGTTAGTTACCAAAGCTTGGTTGACACATCCTCCAGGTTACTGTAGGGTTATACTTCAGTGGAACCCCATGATGAGGTTCTTGCTCTTACTGCCCACCACAAGCCTAAATTATGCACCAACATTAACTACCAGCACTACAAACGTCACTGCAACAAGGACAGCGAGAAAGATCACTAATAGGATTCAAGCTTACTCACCTAAGCCTAACCCAAGCTCTATGAGCAGAAGGCACAGGTCCATGGAGCATAGATCAGAGGGGCTATAACTGTATAACAGAAGCAGACACACAAACCAGACCACTTCATTAACATCGTCCTTGTGCATAGGTTTCTATAGCTCGACACGTGTTATCATGGATCCAGAGCGAGTCACACTGTATCACGGGCAATATCTATCTAGTTCCTGCAAAGGCTATTGTGTATATACCCAATATGTCAATAATTTTTGACAATGTTGTTAAAGTGATAACTCTGAACAATGTAACCAATTACCATGTCTATACCGCTCTGTAACCCTATGGATGTGCAATGAAAAATTTATAAAAAATAAAATAAAATAAAAAAATTCAACTTTGGTCCAACATCAACATGGAACATCTATCAAGTCTATTTGTTTTTATTTTAAGTATAACAGTTTTGGAACTTTGAATGAGCATGCCTTCATTAGGTTATTCACCGAGATAGTAATTTCTGAAAGAAGCAGATACAAAGGGAAAATGAGAAATGTAACACACATACATTGATCATGAAAAGGTGGACATTTAATTATTTTATTTTAGTCTATAGAGATGATCTAGAGAGACCTTCAGCATGTAAAAACTTTAAAGATTACAAAACCAAAAGAAATTGTCATCCACCCTAAAAAAAATCAATTTCTGGCAACATATTCTAAAACACGATCTTGCACAGTTGCAGCATTGTAATAATAAAACTAGGATACTGTTGTTTTGACCTTCATGTAACCTTACTAAGATTTTTACCACGCTTTCCCTTTAATATATTAAAGACGTGACTTTCAGTTTTGTTTGATATAATGGCTGAAGTCAAATTTCGTGCTTAATGTGGCAATGATCAAAGCTGTGCGAAGCTACATTATCATAAAGAGAATTTGGCAGGCGAGTGTTGTTCATTGGTTAGTGAACAGCGTTCTTTGTTTTAGATCTATGATGGTTGCTGCCGTTTTGGCAGTGCACGCGCTACTTGTTGCTTTTGCTAAATCTATAATTTTTTAGTGAAAGGGATTCACTGTTTGTTAGCAAAATCTATGGTAATTTATCACCCGATGTAAGGAATACACAGAGATTATTCTTTGTTCACTCAGCCCTTAATCCTTATCAGTTAAAATGGGAATACAAATGTGCCACCTGAATACATACACATTTAGTCTGTCTGTCCATACACTTCTCTTTCCATTCGTCTGTCCATTTATCTGTCTTTCCATCTGTTTGTCTATCTGCAGAAGCATGCCTAGGTAGAGAGATGAATGAACAAGACTTGTATTTGTTTTTTTACAAACATATTATACACAAACAATGAAGACTCCATAGCATTCACCTATTTTCCAACACATTGGTGGTTATGCAGCAGTTTTGAATAACTGTAAACCATGTTTTCAAATGTACAATATGCACAAACAAACTACTCTGAACTTGCCATAATCCCTCTTGGTAATTTGTACAATGAAATGCATAATCGTGTCCACAGCACAATATACTATTCTTTAAGTACACCAACAGGAGCACTGCAAGACTTGTAAAAGTTCCATTGCAGTTAGAGCAAATAAATAGTTTTCCAGTTCTCACTGAACTTCAATTCCTGTGGTCCTGTGGTAAATTACCACTACATTTGTTGAGTCTTTAACGTGATTCAGTGGAATTGTAGTTACTTAGTTAAAGGGACTCTAAGTACCATAACCCCTTCATCCCATTGAAATGGTTATGGTGTCTAGATTTCCCTTGTGCCGTCCTTTTGTTCAGTGTCAAACTGATTGATATGACACTGAATTAGGGTTCCCAGGTACCGTGGTTCCACTGGTCACTGGCAGTATGGGTAACTGCAATAACCATATCAATAAATACCGATGATGGGCTTCAGTAAAAGTATGAAAGTATTCTGCTAATCCTCTCAGCCTATCGCTGCTTGGGCTATTCGATATTTGGGCTAATTAGCTTGAGCAGCGGGAGCCCAAATACCACCATTCACAAATTTAACAATGAATGGTGGCCAGGGCTCTGGGCACTCAATTCACTGCAACGAGATTGCTTTACAGATATAAAATGTAAAAAATATATGAAAATTAAATAAAGTATACTCTGCACAGAATTCTTCTCAGCAAACCCCCATGTTCTGATCCTTTGTCGGGAATGAGGGGTTGAGATAGCTTAGTGCAGTGTTTCCCATCCCAGTCCTCAAGAACCTTTCCAGTCCAGGATTTAGGGATTACCAAATTGTGTCTAAGGTATTTTTAGAAGAAAAAAAAAAACACTTTTAACACAACAGAGTAATCCCTAAATCATGGAATGGTAGAGAGTACTTGAGGACTGGGTTGGGAGCCCCTGGCTAAGTGTGATAGGCTGCTGCAACTTATGGAGGAAAAAAAAGCAGGTGCCATCTTAAAAGTTTGCTCTTTCTTTTCAACAGATTCCTACCAGGGCAGCCATGCCCAGAGTGCGCACCACCACTGCCAAAACTTAATTTCCTTTAAAAAATTTTTTGCTGCGCTCATAGAGGAACCTGACACCTTAATGAGTATTTTGCATCCATGTTACACCAATTTATAGCTATCATTTGCTGCAGCTTGGAGTAAAGTGAATAAACACAAAATACATTTAAAGAAAATGATTATTCATAAAAAATATTCAAGAACAAATGTTTAAACATGAAAAAAAAATGTATAATATAAAAAGGCATGATAATTCTTATAACAATATTGATCCAAGTGTAAATTTACATGTATTTTGGTAAATATTAATAGTATTTATAAGTACCCGGTAATTATTTATTTACCACATATGTTTCTGAAGGGCGTGGAGATACATTTTCATTCTAAATTTACAAAACAATGTATATCTGCATGAAACAAAAAGAATGTGCTTGACAACTTTTCCTAATGGACTAGTGGTTAAAATGCATTATTTTTCAACCGAAGTCCCTTCTTACTACCTAAACAGGCAAACAGATTTTAGACACTGTTTTATGTCTGTTTTGAAAGCTTAATCTGGAGTCAGCAATGCCCCTTGTTTGTTTAGCACATTAATCTCAGCCTTTGCATTCTGGGTATTTTTTTTGTCGAGACGTCCATGTTAATAGTACTCAAAGGACTTGAGCCATCTCTATGTTCAGAACAATGATGAGAGAAAGTAAACCATGTAACAACCCAGCCAAATCCCAAGAGCTGCACTCTGAGCTGCAAAAGGGATTGTTCAAGTGAATAACATCTTTTCATGTTCCCCTCCCCCTCAGCAAAATGGCTGTTTTCTTTTCTACTAGACAAAACAATCCAACCATTTGCTTGTTACTTTATCCCGTAATGAATGCTGAATTAAATTATCCTATTATTAGATTGTATGTGCTGTCAGAATAGGGAACTCTAACAAAAGCAGAGAAAGTAGACTGTACTTGTCTTGGGATTTTGTTACTAATTTACAATGTTGTAAAGTCAACATACCTGATACTTATCTAATGTAACCCGCTGGTGGGATAGGTGTTTAGAGGGATACATAAAACAAGGATTGATGTATATTTTATAAAACATTTTGATTTCACCAATGTTTTTTCTAATTAATTGTTTTAATTTTTCAGGGTTATCAAGCGTGAATTGTCAGAATTTTATGTGAATTTCAAATTTGTAGGAAAGTAGAAAAATTCTCATCTATGTTTTCAGTTATGCTACATTGACCTAAAATTTTAACACCTTGAATTCTTGCTGGTTCATTCTTACAGTGATTTTTCAATCCATGAGATATACTGTTAAATTGGAAAAAAAATCCCACCCTCTGCTTAAAGGACCACCATAGGCACCCAGACCACTTCAGTTCAATGAAGTGGTCTGGGTGCCAGGTCCATCTAGTGTTAACCCTGCAGCTGTAAACATAGCAGTTTCAGAGAAACTGCTATGTTTACACTGAGGGTTAATCCAGCATCTAGTGGCTGTCTCTGACAGCTGCGAGAGGCGCTTCCGCGCTTCCGCGCTTCTCACTGTGAAAATCACAGTGAGAAGACGCTGGACGTCCATAGGAAAGCATTGAGTAATGCTTTCCTATGGACTGATTGAATGTGCGCGCGGCTCTTGCCGCGCATGCGCATTCAGCACTGACTTCGGCAGAGGAAGGAGAGTTCCCCAGCGCCGAGGGAGCCCGGCGGTGGAGAAAGGTAAGTGTTTAACCCCTTCAGCCCCCTCCAGCCCAGCGGCTTCCTCTGAATATAACAAAGATCATTATTTGGATCTATATCAAGTGGGACCCTGAGGGTGACCTAAAGACCCTATAGTGCCAGGAAAATTAGTTTGTTTTCTTGGAACTATATTGGTCCGTTAATGGAAGATGGTTTCATTGTTATTCAGCTACTCAAGGATCTCTTGTGGAGTGGTGTAAAATGTGTTCAGCTAAATATGATAAGATAACTTTTAGAATACCCCATTAGACAAATATTACTGAAGACATTAAGCAGGTGAAAAAAGAATTCTTATGACCCCCAACTAAAGTTTTTTTTCTTAGTAGGTGGATCTTCAAGCACCAAAAGATGCCTGTTGTTGTTTGGATACCATATTTTCAGACAACATGGGTTAGAATTGTAGATTATGCTAGCGTAGTGTACTTATAATCTTTATTTTAGTAATTACAGGAGGCGAGTATTTTGCATTGACTTTCTTTACTTTTAAACCCCAGCAGCAAACCGGTCAATCAAAAAACTTTAACAAATCAAAACAACCAGTCTTCACTTATATAAGCAAGGACAGTCCCCAACTCTTCCTCTTTCTTTGATGTGAGCAATGAGCGTAGATAATCCATTCAACAGGAACAGAAACAGTAGAAATTGAACTTTCTGAGTTGGGTGTTGGGTGATGATATTCATGCTGAAATAAACAAGAAACAATTGAAAGGTACTTGTAGTGACCGTAATTCTACTTCTTATTATATTAAATATCGAATAAATGGCAGTCATAATGTTCTAATAAAACTGCCTATACAAACACTAATAAATAACAAAGAAATCCAAGCACTAACTACATAACATTTAGTAGAAAAAATATAAAAATCCCTGTTCTACTTCTAGAAAGATAAATTGTAGAAAAAAACATATAAAACAAGTTGAACAAAATATGGGAAAGATAAAGGGGGGGGTGACAGGGAGGGAAAATACTCGCCTCCTGTCATTACTAAAATTAAGATTATAAGGAACACTACGTTAGCATAATCTGCAATTTTACCACATGACAGGAGGCCTCATATTTTGCAACGCTATTCAATTAGAGAAAAAGAAGTGTGAGAAGGTCTAAAATAAAAAATCCAAAATGTGTCCTCTCGTGACCAATCCGCCGAGCGCATAATATCCGTGAGAGATTCACCTGTCGAAAAATCATGCATCACAGCTGCGCCCTGTATGGAGTGTGAAAGTTGACGTAGGGACAACTTTGTCCGGCCAATCCGGAAAATTCGTAACACCATGTTGACATCCCAAAGCCTCGAATATTTCAGAGCTGGAGGATGTGACAGTCGAATACCTCTGAAGAGTCTGCCAATCAGAGGATTTTGACCCACTGGGAGACCTTGTACGGGAACGTGAGCTGTCGAACTCGCCAGTCATGTGACACTAATGGACCGATAGGAACGTCCCGACTCAATAAGAGAGAAAATTATGAATCGTGGGAATAGGTGCTGTAAAGGGATCGGAGTCCCTCTCCAAACACCAGCTAGACCATTTGTTTCAGGAGGCGAGTTAACTTTGTCTGGTTCTGGGTGCCCATGAATCCCATAGTAGGTCCTTAGTGATCTGCGATAGTCCGTCTATGGACCGAGCTCCCTTGAAAGCATCCAAGAACCTAGGACCAGACAGTCTTGTAGTACGATGGGTTGAGGTTCTCCCTGAGGAAAGGATAGTAGCAGGGGGAATGAAGGTATGAGGAGCGGATGGTTTTATGACAATTCCAGCAGATCCGGAAACCACGCTTGACTCTGCCAGAGTGGTGATTGGAGGAGCAGAGAAGTTCTCTGGGTTCATATGTGATATATCACTCTCACTAACTTGGAGAAGGGGGAAAGGTGTAAGCTCCCCTGTTCGGCCAGTCCTGGAGGAGCGCATCTACTGCTTTGCATTCTGGATACGGTAGCCAGCTGAAGAACCTGGGAAGTTAATGCTTGGTCCGTGAGGCAAAAAGGTCGATGATCAGAGACCCCCTGTATTGGTATAGTTTGTGGAAGATCAACTCGTGGAGATGCCAGTCGCTTCCATCTCTCCAGTGTCGGGAGTACCAGTCCGCTGTGAGTGTGATATTGCGTGAGAGGCAAACACCGTAGATATCCTTCGTTGCATCTGATATTGTTCGAGATCGAGCTCCCCTAGGTGATTGATGTATTGAACCGCCGAGATGTTTTCCATGCGTAGTAAGATGCAACAGTTGGACATCTGACTGGGGTTAGCAAACGAGTCTGCTATCAGTTTCAAACAATTTTTGTGTAAGTCCTTCTCCTTGATCGACCAGGTCCTCCTGTGGATGAGTCTGTGCATTGTGTTCCCCAACACATAGGCTGGCGTCTGATTCCACTACGAAATCCGGTGTAGGACCAAATATGGAGGAACCACCAATGGAGTTCCGTCTGTACCTCGGTTGTGAGTGTACTATCTGATTGTAGGAACATCCTGATAGATTATGCATTGAGTCCCTAAAGAGTAAAAGCGTGCCATAACTGGCTTCAACACCTGTCGTGAAGCACCACGGAGCCGAGCTGAGTCCGAATGGTAGGCATGTGAACTGACATGTCCGGTCGTGACTTCGGAAGCGCAGGAATTTTCGCTATGATTGTACCATATGCGTCCTTGAGATCCAGTCTGCTGAACCAATCATTGAGGAGGAGCAGATCACGAAGTAGGTGGATCATTTGAAGTGATGGTATACTACGAAGGCGTTCAGTTGTTGTAGGTTGATGACTGCACAATGAATATGTTGCTGTAGAAGCCGTCGTCGCCTTCTGCACTGCGCCTTTGGAGAAAAGAGTTTGGATTTCGTCACCGATTAAGGCTTCGTGGTCTGTAGAAGCTTTTAACGGAGGCATTTGTATGGTAAAGTGGATTCACCTGTGTTAAATCGTCCCGACCTCTGCCTCGGTAACCTATGGCACTGTCCGTTCCTCGGTAGGACGATGAGTTGCGCGAGGTGGATGTTGGGTAGAAGGAGGATGATAGGAAATTTGGATTGGAGCCTGAGTTCCAGAATCGGCTGGTGGCTCGGCCCTTCTGCCGACCAGCCTCCCAAAACACTACGTCCGGGCGGAGATCAGAATACTTATCTCATTGAGGACTGTGCTTCATTGTAGAGTTGTGAATATAGATACATGTTTCCTGAGTTCCACGATAAAGGAATCGCCGAATAGTAGGCCATTGGCTGATGGTCCCAGTTCTCTATGGGCCATATTCATAAGTTCGGAGTCGATTCGCATAAGGGTCATTCTGCGTCATTCTGTGCAAAGTGCTGCGTTGTTGTTACCCTGCCTACATATAAATCATTGGGCCCATTCCCTGATGGTGTTTTGGTCCAATTGTGTGCCCTGGGAGAGGGTCAGGTCCGCAAACTATAGGATCTTGGCGATGGGGCCCAGTAGATCCAGAAGCTTGTCTTGGGATGCTTTGAGTCCCTTCTCGACCCTTTTCCATGGGTTGCGTCCCGTCTGGGACATGAAGACTACCAATGTCTGATCGAATTCAGGAGTAAAGGCAATTTTGTCTGGTAGTGTGGTCTCGGACATTCGGCCCTAAGGTGTGCACGTACCCTCCGATACAGTGGTTTGCGCAACCAGAAATGTATTAATTTTTTCCAGGTGGGTTGGTAGATTCTCTGAGGGGTGGCGGATGGACCTTGGGTCCAAAAGGGGGCAACTTGGGTGTCCAGGCACAGCCCTTCATCCTCTGTTAGGAAGGAGCCTTGCGTATCCTGAGAGAACGAGTCCTCAGCGTAAGATTCGTTTACATATTTGGAATCTGTGTGTAGGTCTTGCCATTCGTACCTTCCACCCTCCATCTGATTCTGAGGCCTACGTATGCCATTCATTTATGACGTGTAGGGTTGGAGGATAAGCCTCATCGTCCTCCGAGGATAACACCGGTTGGCCTAGTTCCAGTCTTGATAGATGCTTGCTGCATTTAGCAGGAGTCTTCCCTTTTGCCTGAGCACGTGGCACTGTAAGGCCGGCTCTTAAGTGTATAGTAAGGTAATGGAGGTCCTTGCAAGGAGCCTCTGAGCCCATATCACCCTTCGCATTTTGCGGCATCAGTCCCCTAGTTTGGGTGAAAATATCAGGTGGTACATGAGACAACACCTTTGAGATCGCTTTCTCCATAGAAGCTGTGATGGCAGCGGTAATCATCGCTTGCAATTCTTGACTCTGTTGTGGGGAGTCCAACTGTCAGGACGGACCAGTGGCCAAACACGCAGAATTAAGTAAAACACGTAACAAATACAAACAGTAACAATGTATTACCGGGACTTAGAATGGCCAAAATTAACTTAATAGAATAAACAGTAACGAGCCGAGGTCAGGAATACAGAAAGGAACAAATACATACAGAACAAAGCCAAAGGGTCAGGGATACCAGAAATACAGGAAGTCAAGCCAAGCCAAGATCAAAAGCCAATAATCAGAATCAGGAACGCGCACTCAGATAACCAACAGGATGGAAACCATGACAGGGCACTGAACAACTGCAGGTTTGGGTAAATTCTGCTATTGGCTAATTTGGGTCCCATGACCCCAGAATGTGCGTGCACAGTGAAAACGTGACTCCGCATGCACGTTCACATCACTAGTGACGTCATTGTGGGTGGCGTTATTATTTAGCGCCGTCTTGAAGCGACCGGCGTCCCTCCCAACGCTGGATCCGGCCACTGATCCACAAGCTGCATCGAGGGAGAGGCTCTGGTGGTGAGGTGAGTAACCTCTCCCTCCTTTAATGCAACTGCGCCAATCAGGCGCTGCCACACTGTGGTGCCGATTGGGCATTGTGATAGTGATCGGTGTGGTCACACTGAGGTACCGTTCAGGCACCGTGACACCAACATGATAGAATATGTTTTGTCCTGTGGAATAGAGGACCTATGTGTTAACCCACGTGCATATTCACAACCTTGTGGGTAGACCCCTTGCTCAGTGCAATTGGGGGTATCCTGGTATGTGGGTGGATATCTCTTTCAATCCCCACAATTATAATTGATATGGGGGCTCAATTATAGTGCCGGTCATTAGGAGTGGCTGGTACATAAGGGAGCGAAACCCTTGTAAATATGGGGACATGTTAATAACCAGATAGCACTTCCAGGACTTTTTGCTAAATAAAACTTTTTTTAGATTAAAAAGATTAAAAATCAATCGACCTTTCAGTCTGTTATCCACAGTTCATTAGGACTAACTAATACAGTTCAAGTGCTGACCTATATACCCAAATACATACAAACAATTAACTTACACACCACCGGAATAGTCTCCTATTCCCTGTCAGCCCGGTTTGAATCTCACACAGGTTCTGCCCGCGTCAATGCGTGTGTGCATGACGTCCATGTGATGTCGACGTCATTATCTCATCGTGCCAGCAACCGTTAGTTGGCCTCATTAGCCAAAGATACAGAAAGACAATGATATATATACCCTGTTCCAAATTATTATGCAAATTATATTTTTCTCCTTTACCTAAATAATTTATGTAAATAACAGTCAGCATAATTCTCATGTTATCAACTATTAATAGTACAATTCAAATTTTATTGCACAAACCTCCTAATGATAACAGTATTTTTTTAAACATAAAAAACTTACAATGCACTGTTCCAAATTATTACGCACAGTAAGTTTCAAAACACTTTATAGGTTGTAAAGAACTGAAAATTGTCATTTGTTGTGTTTGCAGCATATTTACTGAAATCAAAAGCTATTTCAATTAAACTTATAACAACATTTTAACTTTTTAAACATTTTAACAGGTCACGTTACATTTTAACATAGGATCCCTTATTTGATAGCAGCTTCACAAGTCTTGCATCCATTGAACTTGTGCATTTTTGGACAGTTTCTGCTTGAATTTGTTTGCAAGATGTCAGAATTGCCTCCCAGAGCTGCTGTTTGGATGTAAACTGCCTCCCACCCTCATAGATCTTTTGCTTGAGGATGTTCCAAAGGTTCTCAATAGGATGACTTTCTCTCCTTTTATCCCCATAGCAGCCATTGATGCAGAGGTATTCTTTGCAGCATGAGATGGTGCATTGTCATGCATGAAGATGATTTTATTACGGAAAGCATAGTTCTTCCTTCTGTACCAGGGAAGAAAGTGGTCAGTCAGAAACTCCACATACTTTGCAGAGGTCATCTTTACACATTCGGGGACCCTAAAGGGGCTGACCAGCTCTCTTCCCATGATTCCGGCCTAAAACATGACTCCACCACCACCACCTTGCTGACGTCGCAGCCTTGTTGGAACAGGGCGGCCGTCCACCAACCATCCACTACTCCATCCATCTGGACCATCCAGGGTTGCACGGCACTCATCAGTGAACAGGACTGTTTGAAAATTAGTCTTCATGTATTTTTCTGCCCAATGCAGCTGTTTCTGCTTGTGAGCATTGGTTAGTGGTGGCAGAATAGAAGGTTTATGCACAGTTGCAAAACTCTGGAGGACTCTACACCTTGATGTCTGTGGGACTCCAGGGGCACCAGCAGCTTCAAATATCTGTTGCTGCTATGTAATGGTATTTTAGCAGCTGCTCTCTTGAACCGATGCATGGATCTGGCAGAAATCTTCCTCAATGTGCCTTTATCTGCACAAACCTGTCTGTGCTCTGAATCAGCCACAAATCTCTTAATAGTGTGATGATCACGATTAAGTTTTTGTGAAATATCTAATGTTTCCATACCTCGTCCAAGGCATTGAACTATTTCACTCTTTTTGGCAGCAGAGAGATCCTTTTTCTTCCCCATATTGCATAAAAATGGTGCTCTGCGTAATAATGTGGAACACCCTCCTTTAGTAGTTTTTCCTTAAATTGGGCTCACCTGGCAATCTAATTATCACAGGTGTCCAAGATTGTTTTAAGTGATCCAAAGAGCCCTGAAACACAATGCCATCCATGAGTTAAACTGAAAAACAAAATGCCGCCGGCTGCGGTCGGGTGTATATTAGGAATTCGAATCAGCAGACTGAAGGGGGGCTCAGGAAAACAGTATGTCTGAGGTCTGACAGGAAAGTCTAAAGCGCAGATAATAGAGCTCAACAGGAACAAGAGAGAGACTATGGCATACACAAACAATATAAGTATGGTAAATGTGAGAAAGGGAAATACCCTAAGGAATACAGTATTAATAAAACTATACAATAGAGATTATTAGGTAGGAAGCAAATACTTTAAACTGTCACTCTGACGGAGCAGCAAAGAAAGAGGAAGAGTTAGGGTCTGGCCTTACTTATATATGTGAAAACTGGTTGTTTTGATTGGTTAAAGTTTTTTGATTACCGTATATACTCGAGTATAAGCCGAGTTTTTTGGCATATTTTTTGTGCTGAAAAACCCCAACTCGGCTTATACTCGAGTTAGTCTGTATTATGGCAATTTACATTGCCATAATACAGACCAGGACCGCCGGGCTCATTACAAGCCGGCGGTCCTGTTGAGGGCTGACAGCGAGGTGTTACTTACCTTCCTGCAGCTCCTGTCAGCTCCCTCCTCCTCCGTGCAGCTCCTCGGTCAGCTCCGTTCTGCTCCCAGTGTAAATCTCGCGAGAGCCGCAGGTCTCGCGAGACTTACACTGTTAACAGAACGAGCTGACCGAGGAGCTGCACGAAGGAGGAGGGAGCTGACAGGAGCTGCAGGAAGGTAAGTAACACCTCGCTGTCAGCCCCCCCATTGAACTGCCAATGCCACTGGACCACCAGCGATTTAATATTATTTTATTTTAATAATAATAAAATAATATTATTAAAATAATATTATTATATTATTATTATTTTAATATTTGCATTATTTTTTTTTAAATGGTTTTTGTCCCCCCTCCCTGCTTGTTGCCTGGGCAGGGAGGGGGGACAAAAAAACATTTAAAAAAAAAATGCAAATATTAAAATAATAATATAATAATAAAATAATATTATTATTTTAATATTATATTATTTTAATATTATTTTATTATTATATTATTATTATTTTAATATTTGTATTATTTTTTTTAAATGGTTTTTGTCCCCCCTCCCTGCTTGTTGCCTGGCCAGGGAAGGGGGACAAAAACATTTTTAAAAACATAATGCAAATATTAAAATAATAATAATAATAATATAATAATATTATTTTAATATTATATTATTTTAATATTATTTTAATATTATATTATTATTATTTTAATATTTGCATTATTTAAAAAAAAAAAAAAATGTTGTCCCCCCTCCCTGACCAGGCAACAAGCATGGAGGGGGGACAAAAAAAACATTAAAGAAAAATTAATTCAAATATTAAAATAATAATATTATTAAAATAATATAATATTAAAATAATAATATAATATAATAATAATATTAAAATAATATAATAAAATAAAAAAATAAAAATAAAAATGCCCTCCCCTCATCCAGTTTACACACACTGCACAAACACACACACTGCATTATATACACACTGCATTATATACACACACAACACACAAACACACACACACTGCATTCATTATATATACACACACAAACACACACTCTGCATTCATTATATACACATACAAACACACACTCTGCATTCATTCTATACACACACTGTAAATAAATATTAAATTAATGTAATTTTATTGGGATCTAATTTAATTTAGAAATTTACCAGTAGCTGCTGCATTTCCCACCCTAGGCTTATACTCGAGTCAATAAGTTTTCCCATTTTTTTGTGGTAAAATTAGGGGCCTTGGCTTATATTCGGGTCGGCTTATACTCGAGTATATACGGTAACCTGTTTGCTGCTGGAGTTTAAAAGTAAAGAAAGTCAATGCAAAATACAAAGCCTCCCGTAATGTGGTAAAATTCATCAACCTAATTCAGTCAGGCAAATAGACAAATGTAATAAATGATTTACCCATTCCTCTTAACAGTCAGACACAGGAGTAATGGAAATCCATTTGCATGGCTGGGGCAATTTCTGCTACATATATTTAACAATTTAATTCAAATAGTTTAATTCTATTTATTTTTGCTATAAACAATCATATCCAGTGTTGGCAAATCTCCTACTGATCTTATTTCAGAATCAAGAGCTACAAGAATCCCCAAATAAAGGATTAAAATGGAATTGCTGACCCAGTTGACCTACTTCTATGCCTGAGTGATTGCACTGACATAATTAGTGCATATCAAGTTCTAAAGCTTCTACAACGGTGCTCCCACAGCAAGCAACATTGTGCAGTATGACTATCACCTGGTAATAAAAAAAACCAATGATATCTTGGGTCATTGTAACCTGATTATTTATTCTTATTAACAAAAATCTACAAACTTATCACAACCCACACATAAAAGTTCATGTATAATAAACCTTAATTTTCATTTGTTGTGTTAAATTTTTTTTAGACCATGCACACTTTTGGCATAGAAAGAACATATGTGCTCTAGTTTAAAGGGACACTACAGTCACCAGAACAACTACAGCTTAATGTAGTTGTTATGGTGAGTATTTATTTATTTATAAATAGCTCCCTTCAGGCATTTTCATGTAAATATTGCCTTTTCAGAGAAAAGGCAGTGTTTACATTGCCCATAGGGACACCTCCAAGTAGCCACTCCTCAAATTATCACTGGAGGGGCTTCCTGGCTCAGGGCTGCACAGTAAGCAGCCCTGCCGTTCAACGTCCCTGCGCTGTGCCGGGGACCCTGAATTTTCCTCATAGAGATGCATTGATTCAATGCATATCTATGAGGAGGTGCAGATTGTCCAAAACTGTGTTTGGCCCCACCCCCTTGGTGATTTTAGCCAGTCCAATGCTTTCCCCATGGGAAAACATTGGATTGGCTAAAAATCTGCTATTTTGATGATGTCACCAAGGGGGCGGGCCCAGTGCCAGCGGACCAGTGGAGAGCTGAAAATAAGGTGAGTTTTAACCCATTCTGAGAGGGCTAAGGGGTGGGGCAGGGGGTAAGGAGCCGCCTAATGGTGGGTTTTCATACATTTGTGTTCCTGACCCTATAGTGATCCTTTACTATTTTGTGTCAACTTTCAGATTGACACACAAATGATCACTGTAATGTGTGCACTAATAAAAAAATCCATGGATGGGTTTGACATTTTATGAACATATAAGTATTCATTCACTAAGTAATAAATTATATTTAATCAACACTGGAAGTACAGAATATAACTTTTGGAGCTCAGCTATTTTAGTTGAAATGTTACCATTCCCTTGTCAGTACCCAACAGTACAATCATAACCTAGTGAGTATTGATGTCTTACGTAAATAACTATACATCTACAGACAAGTCCATCAATGCTAGAAAACATGATAAGATTACAGAACCACCGTAGTTATTAGACTTTTACATGGCAAAAGAATTATGACAGTCTGAATCGATTCATTGAAAAAAAAAATGTTTTGGGCAGTTTGGGTGTCTTTTCTGTGGTGTTGAGGTTTGGATACATTTCGTCCAAGCAATCATTTCATAAAAAACAATTCAGGAGAACCAAAATGGAGTGTAAATTTGCCAATAACTGTGCTGCAAAATTTAAATACTATGTATATATTTTGCTGTACACTGATAGGAGCATTTTTGCACTATTTGGTACACAGATCAAGTGAGAAAAATTAGCCAATAGAGAGAAAAGGAGGAAAAGCAGTTAGAAAAATCTATATTTATTATATATGTAATAAATATATAATATAGAAATATATTATCTTGATCTGTGAATAAAGTCAACATTTAGTAGCTATCCCCTAACCATCAATCATCTTTTTTCCATGAATTACCTTTTTTGGGGGGCACCACGGAGGGAACTCCAAATCATGAAATCATTGCCCTTTTTCGTTTGTTTTTTTAAGATTAATTTTGGAATTCAAGATTTCGGACAAGTCGCCAATCACCCAAAATTTGGAAGAACAGCAGTTTATTTGAAACCGGATGCACAAATCTAGTAGTTATGTATTTATGGCAAAATATGCACCATTATCTCATTTTAATCAATAAATCAGATATATATCTCATGGGCGACCTTTCATTTCATCATTCTGCCTTACCTGTGATTTGGTCGAAAACCAAGAGTAAGTTGAATAGCCCATTAAACACTATATGCAAAGATACATGAATGGATATTCAGTGATACATATAAATCATTCCACCTTGTACAAATATAAATTTTGTGTTTTAGAACATAAAAAATCAATATGAATTTGCTTTTACACTTCATGCAAGAAATCTTAACTTTCTTGTGAAAAGCTCATGTCAGACTTTTCCTCCACCCAAGGTTGTAGAGTCTGAAATTTCGCTTCTGTGAGCTGAAATGAGTAAAAACGTTTATTCATTTGTAATGTAATCTTTTCAGCTAGGATTGACTAAATTCCTCCTATAAATAAAGAGGAGATATGTTACTAACATAACTCTCTGACACGATTGTTAATAAATACACATTGCTAACTCATTGCATTATTTTCTGGTCACACCTCAACAATAAGGCCATGTTATGAAATTTATATTTAAACAAACCTACAACAATACAGAATATAGAAAGCTGGACTGTGTATTTTTTTCTCTTAGAGGCATTGCCCGAATCTGCGCTAATCCATGCAGAATTATAGTAAGACTAGAACAGATTTTGGTAGCGTGTTCAATTTAAAAGTTAAATTAAGAAAATACATTCTTTTTTTTTACATAATACATTTCCTACTCCATTTTTACAAACACCATATAGAAAAACATGTTTGAGTTAAAAGTCTATTGTGTCCTGTCTGTTCACTAAGAAATCATATTTATTATAATTCCTTATAGTTTATTAAAGGGATACTGTAGGCACCCAGACCATTTCAGCTCATTGAAGTGGTGTGGGTGCAAACTCCCATCACCCTTAACCTTGCAAGTGTAATTATTGCGGTGTTACGTTACTGTCGTGCATGCGCACTAGGTCTCCCCTTCGGCGGGGGAGGAGCGTGGGCAGAGCCTGACCCTGCGCCGAGGAACAACGGTGCTGGATTCTGGTACGTGTCTGAAGGGGTTTTAACACCTTCAGCGACATGGGATGGGGGCAGGGGGAGGGGGGCACTGCAGGCATCTACAGTGCCACAAAAACGGGTTTGTTTTCCTGGCACTAAAGAATCCCTTTAACTCTTTCAATGCCAGAGATATGACTAGCACATTGCAAAGCAATGAGAGTGGCATACATCTGGCACTGGAATGGTTAAATCAGTTAATTACCATTAGAATATTTGCCTTTACCATAATATTTATGCAATTATATAACATAAATAAAAAAACATATTTGTGAACTTCACATTGATCTGCTAGCGTAATTTTCTGGGCGTATTTTCAATTGTATAGGAGCCTCTCTAATTTAATATTTCTGTACATCCATTTAAAAAAAAATTATATATATATACATCTGCTATGTGTTGTTTAGTAGATAGCTCCATACTTTGTATAGGCACAAAAGGAAATGAGATTCGGCTGTACATAATCTAAAACAGGAACAAAAAAGAACACATAGTGTGATACAGTAAAACAAATGTTAGTGTGCTAAGATGGTAATGCACTCACAAGATCAGAATGAATAATGTGCCAAAAGTGTGCCTGCCCCGGTAAACTTGGGCGGCTGAACGCCTCCACTCTCCACTGGAAATCCAAGTGGAACAAAATAGGAATGAGACTCCGATGGGTTTGGATAAAATAATTATGCAAATTTATTGTAAATAAAGGGCCATATACATTAGCCACATAAATAAAATAGAGGAAAGGTCCTACGCGTTTCGTTCCTATAAACAGGAACTTCCTCAGGGACCAAAAACAAATAATATAATAAAAAAAATCAATACAAAAAATGCATACAATATTCCCCGAGTCTCTATAAATAGGACTAAGCCCTCAGTTCATTGGTGGATCCAGTGGGAGTTACCGATGATTCAATGATCCTATTCAGATCATTGAATCATCGGTAACTCCCACTGGATCCAGTGGCCCTTTATTTACAATAAATTTGCATAATTATTTTATCCAAACCCATCGGAGTCTCATTCCTATTTTGGTCCGCTTGGATTTCCAGTGGAGGCGTTCAGCCGCCCAAGTTTACCGGGGCAGGCACACTTTTGGCGCATTATTCATTCTGATCTTGTGAGTGCATTACCATCTTAGCACACTAACATTTGTTTTACTGTATCACACTATGTGTTCTTTTTTGTTCCTGTTTTAGATTATGTACAGCCGAATCTCATTTCCTTTTGTGCCTATATATATGTTGTAAAAGGTCGGGAACTAGGCCACGACCTTGAGAGGCTGTTTGATTGAATACATCAGATAAGTATATCTGGATACTAGTACGTTTTTTTTCACGTCAATAGTGTTTGAGCTCCATAATTTGGTCTGTTTAGATATGGCAATCTCATGTAAGGATAGCAAATAAGGGAGTAATCTACTAAACAGCTAAATGATCAAAATGAAAAAAAAAAGACCTTTTCCTAATTTAGTTTTTTTTCAGCTGTTTATAGGAGAGCTCCCTTATTTATTATTCTTAAACAAGACTATCACATATAAGGATAGCAAATTAGGGTGTTATCTACTAAACAGCTGGAAGACCAAAATCAAGAAAAGCCATTTTTCTTCATTTTGCTTTTTCAGTTTTTTTAGTAGATAACACCCTAATTTGCTGGCCTTTTAAAAATAAATTGATCTAAAACGAATTGATTTGAATTGTGACAAATCCATTCATTTTCTTTTCGGTATCTGTCAATTTGGAAACTTTGGAAATTGTAAATCACCTGCAATGTGATGAAATTCTATTCAGAACAAAACAAATTGGACGTCTAGAATTTACATTTTATAATTGTGCACCTCATCACAGTACTGTGTTTTAGAATGTTACATTTATCCAAAAGAAACACACTTTCCATTTTAAGAATCCACACATAACATTGTCTAGGTTTCTGTGTCATTCCTATTTCCCCTGCCATGAATCCAATCATAGTTTGTTTCACTAATGCCAGTTTTACGTTGCAGTGGGTAATATAGTTATCCTATTGGAAAATAGTCAAGAGCTAGTGGAATAGGGGGAAGAATAATGAAAGCTAAGCTAAATGAAAACATACATACTTAGGCTATAAAACCAGTAATTATAGCATTTCCTGCTCGATGTATAAAAGCAGAACCCCCTGCACTGTCCTTCTCACCTCTGCCTCAGTCCTAAAAACAAATAGAAATTCTAAATTAAAGGAACACTTCAGACCAGTAAAGCACTTGAGCCTCCTGAAATGCTTTATGTGTGAAGAGTGTGCCTTTTTTTCATTTTACCAAAAGTACAGATTTCAATAGAAATTGGCACGTTTATAAATTAACCGTTGTTACTTACTTTTTAATCCCAACCTCCCTCGGCTGTCAATCAGACAACCGTTCCTGTTACTTCCTGGTTTGTTTAGCTCAGTGGAGCGAAACTCAGGAGGCAGCAATTTCGCAGAACACATACCTTGCAAAGACTTCTCATTGAGCTGGGAAATTGGACAGTCACAGAAAGTCTGGCTGGGAAAGAAGGTTAGGGCTCCAAATGCTGTAAATAAGTAATCTGCAGATTTTGCAATCTGTTTTTAAATGTACCCTAATAAAAAAAAGAATGCATAGGGAATTATATTGGGGTATGTCTACTAAACAGTGATTTTAAAAAAACAAAAAAAAACATTTTAGTGCTTGGGCAGAGGATTGTCCCTTTATGCAGACATGCATATTCTGCTGCTTTTATCTGGGGCTTTGTTGCTGTAAAAGGATTCTAAAGCATTTGATATAAGAAAGTGCTAAACATCACGTAAACTTTTAAATTTAGAGGAGATCTATGACACAGTCATTGGACTCTACGTCCCCTCCCTGCATCTTGCAGTTTGCGTTGCAAAGTGTGATGGGAAATGAGCAGGCTGGGGGGGGGTACTGTGACCTGCTGAACTTGTACATCCAGTTTATTTTTCTAACTGCAGCTATAAAACCCTCAACATCTCATATAGAAAATGGCAATTTATAAATGTGGGACTGGCTTGTAGCCTGGGTCTCCCACTGTGCAGACCAGAGCTCTAACCACAAGACTGTTCCTTCACCCATGAATGTGTAATTTATTCATAAAAAAAATGTAACTCTAGTTCTGTGCTGGAATGGCTTCCCAGCCAACATCCTTCCGCAACAGGAACATTTCAGGCCTCTAGTTCAGAAAGATGCCTCCTCTCCAGGCCCCAGGGACAGCTCTGTTTAACATTTGGAAGCTTCAGATATGCCAATGTTTGCTAGTCACATACAGCAATAAAAATTGGTTAATGGTCCCACAAAGAAAAGGGAAAGTTAGCAGTAAAACAATAACTGTTGTCTGAAACACCAAGGCAAAGCACCGCACACTACCTGACTCGTAGGTAACAGTTACCTTGTTTATAACTACCTGATTCACAGGTAACAGTTACAGTGTTTCAAACTACCTGACTCATGGGTAACAGTTACTCTGTTTATAACTACCTGACTCGTAGGTAACAGTTACAATGTTTATAACTACCTGACTCGTAGGTAACAGTTATAGTGTTTCAAACTACCTGACTCGTAGGTAACAGTTACTGTGTTTATAACTACCTGACTCGTAAGTGACAGTTACCGTGTTTATAACTACCTGACTCGTAGGTAACAGTTACCGTGTTTATAACTACCTGACTCGTAGGTAACAGTTACCGTGTTTATAACTACCTCACTCATAGGTAACAGTTACCGTGTTTATAACTACCAGACTCGTAGGTAACAGTTACTGTGTTTATAACTACCTGACTCATAGGTAACAGTTACCGTGTTTATAACTACCTGACTCATGGGTAACAGTTACAGTGTTTCAAACTACCTGACTCGTAAGTAATAGTTACCATGTTTATAACTACCTGACTCGTGGGTAACAGTTACTGTGTTTCTAACTACCTGACTCGTAAGTAACAGTTACTGCGTTTATAACTACCTGATTTGTAGGTAACAGTTACAGTGTTTCAACTACCTGACTCGTAAGTAATAGTTACCATGTTTATAACTACCTGACTCGTGGGTAACAGTTACTGTGTTTCTAACTACCTGACTCGTAAGTAACAGTTACTGCGTTTATAACTACCTGATTTGTAGGTAACAGTTACAGTGTTTCAACTACCTGACTCGTAAGTAATAGTTACCATGTTTATAACTACCTGACTCGTGGGTAACAGTTACTGTGTTTCTAACTACCTGACTCATAGGTAACAGTTACAGTGTTTATAACTACCTGACTCGTAGGTAACAGTTACTGTGTTTATAACTACCTGACTCGTAAGTAACAGTTACCGTGTTTATAACTACCTGACTCGTAGGTAACAGTTACCGTGTTTATAACTACCTGACTCGTAGGTAACAGTTACCGTGTTTATAACTACCTCACTCATAGGTAACAGTTACCGTGTTTATAACTACCAGACTCGTAGGTAACAGTTACTGTGTTTATAACTACCTGACTCATAGGTAACAGTTACCGTGTTTATAACTACCTAACTCGTGGGTAACAGTTACAGTGTTTCAAACTACATAACTCGTAGGTAACAGTTACCATGTTTCAAACTACCTGACTCATGGGTAAGAGTTACCGTGTTTCAAACTACCTGACGCGTAGGTAACAGTTACCGTGTTTATAACTACCTGACTCGTAGGTAACAGTTACCGTGTTTATAACTACCCGACTCGTAGGTAAAAGTTACGTCTTTATAACTACCTAACTCTTAGGTAACAGTAACCGCGTTATAAACTACCTGACTCGTAGGTAACAGTTACAGTGTTTATAACTACCTGACTCGTAGGTAACAGTTACTGTGTTTATAACTACCTGACTCGTAAGTGACAGTTACCGTGTTTATAACTACCTGACTCGTAGGTAACAGTTACCGTGTTTATAACTACCTGACTCGAAGGTAACAGCTACCGTGTTTATAACTACCTGACTCATAGGTAACAGTTACCGTGTTTATAACTACCAGACTCGTAGGTAACAGTTATTGTGTTTATAACTACCTGACTCATTGGTAACAGTTAACTTGTTTATAACTACCTGACTCGTAGGTACCTGACTCATAGGTAACAGTTAGCGTGTTTATAACTACCTGACTCGTAAGTAATAGTTACCATGTTTATAACTACCTGACTCGTGGGTAACAGTTACCGTGTTTCTAACTACCTGACTCGTAAGTAACAGTTACCATGTTTATAACTACCTGACTCGTAGGTAACAGTTACCGTGTTTGTAACTACCTGACTCATAGGTAACAGTTACAGTGTTTCAAACTACATGACTCGTAGGTAACAGTTACAGTGTTTCAAACTACATAACTCGTAGGAAACAGTTACCGTGTTTCAAACTAGCTGACTCATGGGTAAGAGTTACCGTGTTTCAAACTACCTGACTCGTAGGTAACAGTTACCGTGTTTCTAACTACCTGACTCGTAAGTAATAGTTACCATGTTTCTAACTACCTGACTCGTAGGTAACAGTTACCGTGTTTGTAACTACCTGACTCATAGGTAACAGTTACAGTGTTTCAAACTACATGACTCGTAGGTAACAGTTACAGTGTTTCAAACTACATAACTCGTAGGAAACAGTTACCGTGTTTCAAACTACCTGACTCATGGGTAACAGTTACCGTGTTTATAACTACCTGACTCGTAGGTAACAGTTACCATGTTTATAACTACCTAACTCATAGGTAACAGTTACCGCGTTATAAACTACCTGACTCGTAGGTAACAGTTACAGTGTTTATAACTACCTGACTCGTAGGTAACAGTTACTGTGTTTATAACTACCTGACTCGTAGGTAACAGTTACTGTGTTTATAACTACCTGACTCGTAAGTGACAGTTACCGTGTTTATAACTACCTGACTCGTAGGTAACAGTTACCGTGTTTATAACTACCTGACTCATAGGTAACAGTTACCGTGTTTATAACTACCAGACTCGTAGGTAACAGTTACTGTGTTTATAACTACCTGACTCATAGGTAACAGTTACCGTGTTTATAACTACCTAACTCGTAGGTAACAGTTACAGTGTTTAAAACTATCTGACTCGCAGGTAACAGTTACTGTGTTTATAACTACCTGACTCATAGGTAACAGTTACCATGTTTATAACTACCTGACTCGTAGGTAACAGTTACCGTCTTTATAACTACCTGACTCGTAGGTAACAGTTACCGTGTTTATAACTACCTGACTCGTAGGTAACAGTTACCGTGTTTATAACTACCTGACTCGCAGGAAATAGTTACCATGTTTCCATGTTGTATTTCCATCTCAATGCCACATATGATTACTAAAACACTTCTCACTTTTATATCTTTATAGGCAATATTTTATAGGCAATATACAGTATCAGTACCTGCAAAGGTACGAATATATAATTACAATAATTTATATAGCGGCAACATATTCTGCAGCGCTGTACAATAGGTAAACAAGACAACCATGTAAGTCAATGAAACATGTATGACATACGGGAACAGCAGAGGAATAGGCCCTGCCTAAACAAGCTTACAATGAAAACTGGAATTCAAGAAACTCAACACCAAACATCTTCAGGATCCAAGTTTATATACCTTGCAACGCTATTACACGCTTACTTTCTGAGAACATAAAATGATAGATAAATAGATAATAGATACATAGATAGATAGATCTATCGTTCCTGTAAGTTTTCTTGTAATTGTCCTATTTATAGTTAAATCCCCCCCTCTCATAATATTGTAAAGCGCTACGGAATCTGTTGGTGCTATATAAATGGCAATAATAATAATAATAATAAATAGACAGACAGGTCAGACAGATATAGATGGACGGACAGAAAGGTAGATAAGTAGATAGATAGATAGATAGGCAGATAGATAAATGTATTGTTTTATTGCCTATCTCCATATAAAATTAAGGTTTAACCCTTTCAATGTCCCACAACTTTTATAAAACTGTCTAAATTAACATACTATATGGGAGAATAACTATTAGTTAATCATGTTTTTAAAAATACAATTTCACCCTTATTGGTTTGTTTTATTTATGCTGTGTATTATTTAACATAATTACAGATACTATAGCCATCATTGGATCAAATTTTGGCTTACTAGAGAGAGAGAGCCCCTTTCATGTGTTTAATGCATCATACATATGTCTATATGTTTATTATAATTAAAATAATCATCCCTGTATCTTACACAGTGCTGGAGTCGCTAGTCATTAGGGTTGGCACCAGGGCCGGATTAACATAGGGGCTGATGGAGCTGCAGCTCCAGGCCCAGGCCCATGGAATAGGCCCATTTAAAAAAACAAAAAGAAAAACATTTTTTTTATTTTTTTTTTACACACACTACTCTTAGGTTTGCCATCTGACTGGTATTTTAAGGCACAGCCGGTATTTGAGGATGCTTGGCCATGACGGTATTGCAGTAATACCGGCAATACAAATGCAAATATTTTTCTCAGTATAAACAGAGATTACTCTGCAATACCAGCACCGGCCAGTAGGGGTCACTGTGTGTGGAGAGAGGTAGGGATAGAAAGTTACAGCATATCCCTCCCTTCCTCTCTCTACTCACTGATCAGCTACACAGCACAGCGAGTTCAAACAGCAGCTCACAGCCTGCAGAGACAGACTACAGCTCAGGGAAGTGAAGGATGGGGGAATAAGGCAGCAGGGAGACATGGGTACACTAGGGGAAACATGGGGACACAGACACTAGGGGACACTGGGAGTTGTGGGGACACTGAGACACTTGGGGACACTGTGAGACATGAGGACGCTGAGACACATGGGGACGCTGTGAGACATAGGGAGACACATTGGGACACAGAGACACTAGGGATACAGTGTCTCCATGTCTCCAGTGTCACCATGTCTCCCAGCCAGTGTCCCTAGTGTCTCAATGTCCCCATGTCACCCAGTGTCCCAAATGTCTGTGTCCCCATGTCTCCCAGCCAGTGTCTCAATGTCCCCATGTCTCCCACTGTCCCTATGTCTCCCAGCCAGTGTCCCCATGTCTCTGTGTCCCTATTTCTCTGTGTCCCTAGTGTCCCCATGTCTCCCAGTGGCCCCATGTCTATGTCCACAAGTGCCCCCATGTCTCCCAGTGTCCCCAAGTGTCTGTGTCCCCATGACTCCCAGCCAGTGTCCCATGTCTCCCAGTGTCCCCTAGTCTCCCAGTGTCTGTGTTCCCATGTCTCTGTGTCCCTAGTGTCTTAGTTTCCCCAAATGTCTGTGTCCCCATGTCTGTGTCCCTAGTGTCTGTGACCCCATTTCTCCCAGTGTCCCCAAATGTCTGTGTCCCCATGTCTCCCAGTGTCCCCATGTCTCCCAGTGTTCCCATGTCTCCCAGTGTCCCCATGTCTGTATCCACAAGTGCCGCCATGTCTCCCTGTGTCGCCATGTCTCCCTGTGTCGCCATGTCTCCCTGTGTCCTCTAGTATCCTAGTGACATGGGGACACACTGAGACACTGAGACATGGGGTCACTGATACTGGAAGACTAGGGGACTGGGCGACATGGGGACACTGACACTGTGATACCTAGGGACACTGACACTGATACTTTGGACAGACATGCCCCCTTTTTGGGCATGTTCACCCTTTTGGCAGTTCTGGTCACGTGATTTGCGTCAGTGGCCCATCCTTTTCCCCCCACCCATTGACTTCCTGCTTCACTGGACACTGCTGTTAGGGGGTATGGATTTACTTGAAAGATGAAAGTATAAATTAGATAAAGAGATTAGCATAGAGTATATGTTCTCTTATAGCTGCATCCTTTGAGTTTCCCTCCAACACCAACTCCATCAGATACATAACGGTTGAGAGGTATGACTGTTTTAGTGTTTTTGGTCGATAAGATTCTGTAATTAGGCCCCATCATAATTGTCAGCACCAGGCCCACTGGGCTCTTAATCTGGCCCTGGTTGGCACCCATCACAGTTTATTCATATTATATACGTATATATCACCATACAAAATTATCATTAACACTACATTTATAGGCCACACCCAGAGGCGGATCTCTAATTAGGCTGGCTGGGGCCTCACAGCCGCCTAAACCGCCTAGGGCAGACTGTGTCAGTTCCTTGGTCAGTGACCCAACACCAGGAGGGGGGCCAGGCAGCTTGCTCAGTATGCTGCCGGGTGTGAGGCCCCTCCTGTCTGCCCGGCCAGCAATCGCAGACACCAGTCTGCAGCTCCACAATGTGCAGAGCTGCAGACCATGTGTCTCATGAAAACTGGCCAATCAGAGCATTTGCCGCGGGTTACCACGGCAACGTTCTGAAGGGTCTCGCGATATACATGGTCTGCAGCTCTCACCATAATCGCCCCTTCCTCTCACCATCACCACCCCTCCCTCTCACCATCATCCCCTCCCTCTCACCATCACCCCCCCTCCCTCTCACCATCACCCTCTCTCCCTCACACCATCACTCTCACACACAGGATCACCCCCGCACACAGTATCACCCCCATCACACACACAGCCTCCCCAGACACACTGTTAGCATCCCCTCACACTGTCACCACCCCACACATTGTTACCCCTCCCTACACTGTCATCACCCCCCACACTGTCAGCCTCTTAATGTATCCACTCACATTAACCCCCCTTAATCCTGTCACACTCGTCCCTCCTTCCATGCCAGACTTGCCCTGACACACTTACCTCCACTCACCCTGTCACACTCTCCCTGCCACTGGTACCCCTTTACTCACCTTGTCACAGTCACCAGCTGAAGACATTCATCATACACACACAGTCAGGAAACATAGCTTTGCCATAAACACAATGCACAAAGGCTACAGGCAGAACTCCATACACACAACAATTCAGGTACTTCCGTGTGTCCGAATAGATGAATTGCCGAATTGCCGAAGAAAGACACGAAATTACTGAATTTCCGAAGTGTCGAATTGCGAAGTGCCGAAGTTCCGAAGTGCTGAAGTGCCGAAGTTCCGAAGTTGCCGAAGTTCCGAAGTGTCGAAGTGCCGAAGCACAGTATTACCTAAGAACTAATATACTTATCCAGGGAAAGAATGAAGAATGTTACATTGTATACAATTTAAATAAAAAGTATATAGCCAGGATTCAGTTGTAAGCATTTGCAACACTTACAACAATAAAGTAACATACATTCATATAAAATGTAAGTTACTCAGCCAGTCAGTGTAATGACAGGAATGAATAAGTAGATAACTCCCTAATTCCCACGGTATTAGGGAGCTATCTACTTAAAGGCTGAAAGACCTAAATTGTTCTTTCAGCCAAATTTACTAATACTAAAGTAAAGATTACTTAGTATTAGTAAATTATGCCCCTACTCGCTATACTGCGAGTAGGGGCATGTCTATTAAACAGTGAGCAGCCTATGGCTGCTCACTTGAAAAAAAAAAAAGTCCCCCCTCCACAGCCCCCACCCGTGCTGCGCGAGTGGGGGCTTCTAACCTGAAGGGGGGACCTATTGCCCCCCTGGCCCCCCTACCCCTGAACTGCAGGTGGGGGCCTAACAGTAAATAAGGGGGGGACCTAATGTCCTCCCCCCTGGCCCCCACCCCTGAGCGGTGGGTGGGGGGGCCTACAATAAAATAAGGGAGGGGACCTAATGTCCTCCTCCCTGGCCCCAATCCCTGAGCGGCGGGTGGGGGCCCTAAATTGGAATAAGGGGGGTACCTAATGTCCTCCCCCTGGCCCACACCCCTGAGCGGTGGGTGGGAGCCCTAAATACTAATAAGGGGGGGACCTAATGTCCTCCCCCCTGGCTCCCACCCCTGAGCGTGGGGGCCCTAAATTGGGATAAGGGGGGGAACTAATGTCCTCCCCCCTGGCCCCCACCCCTGAGCGGTGGGTGGGGGCCCTAAATACTAATAAGGGGGGGGGAACCTAATGTCAAATAAATACCGGCCAGAGTAGTGAGTAAAAATCAACCTATTGCCTCCCTGGCCCCCCTACCCCTGAACTGCAGGTGGGGGCCTAACAGTAAAATAAGGGGGGGGACCTAAAGTCCTCCCCCCTGGCCCCCACCCCTGAGCGGTGGGTGGGGGCCCTAAATACTAATAAGGGGGGGACCTAATGTCCTCCCCCCTGGCTCCCACCCCTGAGCGTGGGGGCCCTAAATTGGGATAAGGGGGGGACCTAATGTCCTCCCCCCTGGCCCCCACCCCTGAGCGGTGGGTGGGGGCCCTAAATACTAATAGGGGGGGGGAACCTAATGTCAAATAAATACCGGCCAGAGTAGTGAGTAAAAATCAATGGGCCTATTCCATGGGCATTGGCCTGGAGCTGCAGCTCCAATAGCCCCTACGTTAATTCGGCCCTGATCATTGTACCCTATGAATATAGAAAAGATTTTAAAACTAGTAAATTCCCACCACGTTGTGCAGTATTCAACTCACCACTTGAAACTCCAGTCGCCGAAAACTGCGGGGCTGCCTCTCATCGTCTTCCCGTTCCGGAAGCTGCTGCCGCAGCTGCTGGCATGGTTTCTGAAGCCAGGTTCCTAAATAAAACAGCTGGCAACCAACTCCCAGACCTGCCACTCCAACTGCCAAAGGATTCCTGTTCCACTTCCTTGCCATGATAATCACTGGATCTGCTATGTTGATCTGTGTGTGTCAGTCTTAAGCCTCATGCGGTCCTGAACAGCATCCCTCGTGTCCTGGGGCCCTGCAGTGATTCCTTTGCTGGCGAGGCCCCTTAGGCCGGCACTGTCTGCCATAAATCCTCTCAGTTCTGCTGTCATCAGTGATTTCAGCCGTTTCAGAACTCAGTCAGCTCCCTTCTGGGTTGCCCTCTCGATTCCCTTCACTATGGCTGCAAACACAGACCTCATGATGAAACTGTAACTCCTGCTGCTAAAGGATTCCTGTTCCACTTCCTTGCCATGATGATCACTGGATCTACTATGTTCAAATCTGATACCTTTCCTGTCAGTATTAAGCCTACTGTGTTCCTGAACAGCACCCGTGATGTACTGGGGCCCTGCTATGATTCCTTTGCTGCCTTGGCCCATTAGGCCTTCACTGTCTGCCATAAAGCCTCTCAGTTCTGCTGTCATCAGTGATTTCAGCTGCTTCTGAACCCAGTCAGCTCCCTTCTCCTGGAATGCTCTCTTGATTCACTCCAGTATGGCTGTAAACAGAGACCCCTTGATGAACCTGCAAAAGAAAAAGGAATTCTCCCAGGGCTGAAGCCCCACCAGCAGTGCTGGTAACAACAACAAGGTCGGTGAGACAGCATTAGAATGGGAACATTTAAAGACGGCAGCCCTATATGTATCAGCCTGCCCATCCCATATAGCTAGCCAATCAAAACACACCAACTATGAATGCCCGCCTCCTAGCTCTGTCAAAGCCCTATTCCACTAAGTTGTGCTGCTCCATAGGTACAATAGTATCTGTTCAAATTTGTATGGAATTCATCGACTGAGGAGTACCAGCTCATGGAACCGATATAGCTTCTACTTAAGCATATTCTAGTGGTTGTGGTGCTTTCTGTGTCACCATAAAGACAAGAAAATGTAACTAATCCTTTCCCATTCTGACTACAGCAATGTGTTACTATTTGCTTTACCTGACTACTAACTATCTTTGCAGTCCATTCTGAAAACAGCAACTAGAAAACTCTTACTTTAATATGGAACAGCAATACCATCAACTAAAATCCACAGCGAGTCTTTTTCCAAATCTTAACCTTCCACAGCCCAATATAAAACACCTGTTAAATAAAGCATAGCACTAAGGGGTTTCATGCCTCCCAACCTTGGGAGATTTTGGTGTAACAGCACGGATTTACAGGTCCTGTGATGCCATCCTAGCACGAGCCCATGATAAGATGTGCTCCCGCCATCTTCAAGACACTAGGCCTGAAACAGGGCTCTCTGCAGGGTCTGCCCTCTGATGCTTGGCTAAAATGATTGACATGCATTGACCCGTCCCTTTCTGCCTGTACCAGCCGCCTTTCCCCCTACCTCCGGCGTCCCGAGTCTGGGACCGCTGAAGTTGAGAGTTATGGATCTTTTTTACTAAATTCTCTATTTTAATAAATTGAAAACAGAATTGCCCAACTTATTGCTTTTTGCCTGAATTGATTAATTTGGTTTTAAATTCCCTACAGTTCAAAGTTTCGTGAATATATTCCCACGTTGGTAAAAACTTAAGAGACAGAAAACAACCATTGGGAGACTATGCAGTCATATGTATTTAAAACCCTGTGGAGAAGTGTTTGAAAAACACAGACAACTGAAATATTGAGTCTTCTTTAGTCAGAAGAATGAATGTCTCTGGCTGTTAAAAAAGGACATATACATTTTTTTTTTATAAACCAAGACTGACAAATCCAAGTAGATTCTAATGTCTTCTTCTACAGTGTTTTTATAGCATCGCCACTGTTTTCTATATCTTTTAAAGATTTTATTATAAAAATATTCATCACCTTTAGTTCCAGAGGAGAAATCCGCAGCCAGTTGTTCTGCTCGAATTTTGATACATCTTTCATTGATAGAAAGAGGGAATAAAAGGCTATTGCATGAGACCTTATTAAATAAGTCATTTATAAAAATAAAATTCTTCAAAATAGGGTAAAATTCATATATATATATATATATTTACTTGTAGCAAGCGTGTTCAGATGTGTGCACAAATGGTTTGCATTGTGAATGAATCCTCACGGGAACCATTACATTTTTATGAAGCTGGAACACAGAGAGTTTCCATGATTGAAAAATAAAATAGAAAAATCCTTTTGTTTTCCTGTACTTGGATTTCACTGGTAACAAAATTCTCTCCATTGCATCATGTTACAAAATGCTTGCGTGCAGTGAAATACATTTTTTGTGCGGTGCAACACAGCATAGAACTGAACTTGAAATCGGTGTACTGAATTAAACAAGGATCACACGCTGAAAAGGACTTTTCAAAAATCACTGGCAGAATTTCCGAAAACAGAAACTTTGTTTATTTTGTTTTTAAGAAAACACTTTTGTTTTGCTAGATAATCTAAGCACATACTAGGGACACCACACAATTATCTGCTGCCTAACTAAAATACATAAATATCGCAGTGATTTTTCATTTTATAATTTTTTTCCTCAAGAACCATATGTGCAGTACATGGAAAATAACAAGTTAAAATAGTCCGGAAGAGGGACATGGCCTGACTGTGGTGCTGAAAGGAAGCCATTTCTTGTAGCATCTCTCGCTGACATTCCATCCTTTCAGATACAATTTCTAGGACATTTTACGTGCTGCAGGCATTTTCTATAAACTCTCATGAATAGAGTGTTATTTATATTTTGCCTCTGTGCCACAGGATTTGTCTTCTTGCACTCACAAAGCACAGTGGAAACATGTGCTGCCCTACAATTAGACATATATAGTCCGTCCCCACATTATCCAGGATGCTTGGGACAACAGCTCCTGACTTTCAGCTTATCATCCTTCAACACTCCACGAAGCTTGACATGGTTCCCCCATTGGCTTGTGGGAGTACACTTGTGCTTTTCTCCAGCTTCAGCTGAGAGGCCGACAGATACCCTGTTTCTCTTGTTAAAGGGACACTATAGTCACCTGAACAACTTCAGCTTAATGAGGTTGTTCAGGTGAGAACTATAGCTCCCTGCAGCCTTTCTCGTGTAAACACTGTTTTTTCTGAGAAAATACAGTGTTTACATTGAAAGCTAGGAACACCTCCAGTTGCAGTCACTCAGAGTGAACCAGAGGGACCTCTGAGTTGATGGAGGCATAATATGCCTCCATCCACTCAGAACTGCTGTGCACGAGCATCCTGTTATTCATTATCTCCTCCCACTGCATGCAGTCACTGGACTTTCCTCATAGAGATTCATTGATTCAATTCATCTCTATGAGGAGATGCTGATTGGCCAGGGCTGTGTTTGAATCATGCTTCTTGTCAGTCTCAGCCAATCCTATGGGGAAGCACTGTGATTAGATCAGGCTATCACATGTCAGCAGACTGCTTGTTTTTCCTGTGTCTAACAGCATGCAGATTTACAGCTTCTGGCTTGAATAAAGATTTTTACTATATTTATGGAGGCATGAGGGGCCCAGGGGGGCTAGATGGTTGTGTTAACACTATAGGGTCAGGAATACATGTAGTTGCACTGGTGACTATAGTGTCCCTTTAAGATTATGGCTCTGGAATTCCAATTATCCTGGATATTTTTTTTCTCTTAATTGAAAAATTGGCACAGCGTTGTGCTTATTGTCCTGACCTCGTCATCGTCCTTATATGCTAAATTACATAATTCTACATAGTTGCCAACTGTCCAGTTTTTGCCAGGACAATCCCGGCAAGTTAGAGTCTGTCCCTGGCAATTAATTCTCCTGGGACAGTCCCGGCTACTTGCTGAGCTATGTGCTTTTATTATGTTCCCTTGGACTGTAACAGCCTGTTACAGTCCAAGGGAATTCAGGACAGAGGTGCTAGGAGATGTGTGAGGGCTGGAGAGAGATGCTGGGGGCTGCTGGGGTCAGAGGGAGCACTAACAGTCTCCCTTCTGATTCCCTGCAGCTTCCCTGGCACACAGACTCCTGCTCCACTGCAAGGACGCAGGCTCCGGCCCCACGCCCCTGCTAAGCAGCAGATCTTGCTGAAGGAGGAAGAGGCCCAGGATGGCTACCTGACCTCCCAGCAACAGCCTCCACTGCCAGGTGAGTGAGCTTGTGTGTGTCAGTGAGCTTGTCTGTAGTGAGCTTGTGTGTAAGGTCATCTTTCCGCATGGGCACGCTGGGCAGTTACCTGGGGGCTCCACAAGCCTAGGGGCCCCACCGTGATGCCAATGTGCCCAGACCGACAGAGGAGACAAGCTTTCTTGCTGTGGGCCCTCTCCGGCCGGTGAGGAGATCAAAGAGCTCCCTCACCTGCCCAAAGGACCTTTGTTAGTAATAGGGAGGGTTGGAGGATCTGGGAGGCAGAGCGCTCCTCCCGCGAGCATACTGTGCAGAGCTTTGCTGCGTGTTACTATGGCAATGCTCCGACACAGCATTCTGCTTGTGGGAGGAGTAAAGAAAGCTGGCAGCCAGAGAAGCTTCAGGATATAGACAACTCACCACCTCTGGACCACCAGGGCAAAGCACCCCATTACACACACACAGCACCCCTGATACAATGCACCCCTCACACACACACACAGTATCCCTCACACACACACACTGTACCCCTCACACACACAGCACACGTCACACACTGCACCCCTCACACACACACACAGCACCCCTCTCACAAAGCACCCTTCACACACACACACATCACTCCTGGCACAAAGCACCCCTTACACACACAGCACCTCTGACACAAATACACAGCAATCCTCGTACACTCAGCACCCCTCACACACACTCAGCACCCCTGACACAAAGTGCCTCTCACACACACAGCACCCTCAAACAAGCACACAGCACCCCTCACACACACAGCAACCCCCCCCCCACACACACACTCAGCATATACACACAGCACCCTCACACACACATACACAGCACCCCTCACACAGCACCTGTCACACACTGCACCCTACACACACACACTGCACTCCTAACACAAACTGCACCTCTCACACACACACAGCACCCCTACACACAAACACATACACTGCACCCCTCACTGTAGTCTGTGTGTATTCAGCTGCCTGGGTGTATTCAGCAGTTTCTGTGTGTGTTTTCAGCAGTGCGTGTGTGTAGTCAGCAGTCTTTATGTATTCAGCAGTCTGTGTGTGTGTGTGTGTTTGTGTGCATAAACCAGTCTGTGTGTATTCAGCAGTCTCTCTGTGTGTGTATTCAGCAATCTGTGTGTGTATTTAGCAGTCTGTATGTATTCAGCAGCCTGTGTACATTTAGCAGTCTGTGTGTGTCTTCAGCATTCTGTGTGTATTCAGCAGTCTGTGTATGTGTGTGTGTATTCAGCAGACTCTGTGTGTGTGTGTTTGGGTGTGTGCATTCAGTGTAGTGTGCATGTACTCAGCAGTCTGTCTGTGTGTACTCAGCAGTCTATGTGTGTGTACCCAGCAGTCTCTGTGTGTGTACTCGGCAGTCGGTGTGGGCCTGTATTCAGCAGGCTGTGTGTGAATGTGTTCAGCAGTCTGTGTGTATGTATTGTATGTATGCATTGCATTTTTGGAGGTACCAATAAATGTAAGCTTAAAAGTTATCGAGTTCACTGCTTTGCTGGTGAGATGTTTTTTTGTTTGACTGCAGTGGTGAGGGTGAGAACATGGTGGACCATGCAAGGTTTACATTGTTTTTTTATTGAAAACACACCTGCATGGGGACAAGAGTGTCACAATCCTGGTGTTCTCATTACCCCGCCATCACCTACGTGGAAAGGGTCTTGTTTTAGCATTATCTAAATACACTTACTTTAAAAAAAATCTAAGTCCTCGGGAACAGGGACAATTGTTTTTTTTTTTTTATTTTTTATTAATTTCATATACTCCCTACCTGAGAATCCAAAAAGCTATAGTATTATTAATATTATGTATAGTCCCTACAATACTCTTGATTAGAGATGTCGCGAACTGTCCGCCGGCAAACAATAGCGTGTTCGCGTTGGGCGAACATATACGATTACCGGTCCGCCCCCTATACGTCATCATTGAGTAAACTTTGACCCGGAACCTCACAGTCAGCAGACACTTCCTGGGAGGGAGGGTCTGCTGCTGATTGGGTGGAATGTGTCTGCTGGCTGTGAGGTTCCGGGTCAAAGTTTACTCAATGATGACGTATAGGGGGCGGACCGGAAATCTGATATGCTCGCCCAACGCGAACACGCTATTGTTCGCCGTCGGATAGTTCACGAACAGTTCGGCGGACAGTTCGCGACATCTCTACTCTTGATGCGTTCATGGCTGCTCAATAAGCTCTGGTGCCATCCACCCTCCCACCCATAGCCACATGGTAACAGGGCAGTTATCCACCAAGAGCAGCCAGGTGCAATTACATAAACCTTTCTAACGTCCTACACACTTAAGCTATAACTAAACTTTGGCGACTCTTACCTGGGCTCTCACTTAGGTATACCCACATAGCCAAGTAGTATACACACTATTTTGTCTTTTATAAAAGAAAAATGAGCCTGAAACATTCAGGAAATTACCTATACATATTCTATCATTTCTTCTTCATGTAATAATAATTAATAATATATAGAGGAAAGTGTATTATATGTAGATGAAGCTGCTAGTTCTTCTTATGCTGTCTAGTTGCATTTTTTTAATACATTTTCTGAAATCCCAGAGTTTCCCACTTCCCTCGTGATGATATCCTATTCTATAAACACTGGCTTAAAACATTGTCGCATCACATGTAAATATAACATTTTGTGGAATGCATAGAGCCCTGACATTAAATGCCATGGCAAATTGATTTTAAATGACCTTTTGCCTGATCAGACTTTATCCTCACTTTAACCCAGCTCTAACCTTGCTCTTTGTTAGAAAGTTGTATTAGCTTTCCTCAGAGCACATGCAAAGCTTAATTAAAAGCAGGTTACGGAGCCATTGCTGCTTAATCACATGGCACTTAATATTTGTTTAACATGGTTGCCAAGTGTGATTCTGTTGGAGAGCTCATGTTTATATCTGCTGAAAGATGCATGGATTCCTTTCCATGAGTTACATTTCTTGATGGCCCCAACAGCTCTACCTTGCAAGACGTCACCTTGAGACGCAATACGCATGATGCTGAAATCTTTTTTATTTTATCAAACATCAAACATCATGTCTCATAACTGTTTGGAGGCTTTTTGTACATTCTTTATTGTGTTGTTTGTAAGGAGATTAAAATTAAGACACCACCTCAAATATTTTGGGTTAAGTAGTATTTATAAATAATTAGAAGATTAAGGATTTAATCCCAACTGCTTCCATGTGACAGGCAAATTAAAGATCATTTTCCACAGGAGACGTATTTAGGCTTCGGAACAGGCAGAGGCAAAAATGTAAAGTGTCTTCTAACATAAGATTCTAACATAGAAACATAGAATGTGACGGCAGATAAGAACCGGCCCATCTAGTCTGCCCAATTTTTGAAATACTTTTATTAGTCCCTGGTCTTATCTTAAAGCTAGGATAGCCTTATGCCTATTCCACCATGCTTAAACTCCTTCACTGTGTTAACCTCTACCACTTCAGCTGGAAGGCTATTGCATACATCCACTACCCTCTCAGTAAAGTAATACTTCCTGGTATTATTTTTAAACCTTTGTCCCTGTAATTTAAGACTAGGTCCTCTTGTTGTGGTAGTTTTTCTACTTTTAAATATAGTCTCCTCCTTTACTGTGTTGATTCTCTTTATGTATTTAAATGTTTCTATCATATCCCCCCTGTCTCGTCTTTCCTCCAAGCTATACATGTTAAGATCCTTTAGCCTTTCCTGGTAAGTTTTATCCTGCAATCCATGAACCAGTTTAGTAGCCCTTCTCTGCACACTCTTCTTCTCTAACTTACAACATAACTGTTTTTTAAATTGTTGACTGTGTATGTTTTTGCAGAACTGTCTCTGCGATGTACGTAGAAACATTATGTCAAGGAGTTAGACCAAGATGTTTGCTCTTTGAAGAGAGTGAACAGACTGGGAATAAAAATACACTGTTTGCTAACTCCATGCAGTACTTGAGCACTTTGACAGGTTCCCTAGATCAATATAGGTTAGTGTTACATTCCAGATTTGGGAAGATACTTTTCCTATGGTGCGTAGTCATCCTTCAAGTTTCAAACTTCTAGAGCTCCTGTGCTTGTGCCGTAGGATCCCAATTCGTCCAGGATGGCCAAACTTAGAGCACTCCAGTGTTATGTTTTTAATGTATTTATCTGTAATGTTGGAGTTTTCTTTTAAGATCTTACCAAGACATGGAGTGATGTGATTAGCCAACACTGGACATCATTGTGAAAAAGCAGAATTTATGTACAAATATATTTCTAATCTTTTTTATTTGCAACTTAGTCTTTTTTTGTAGTATCAAATGAGATTACAAGCGTTGGTAAAACAATAGCTACGCATTCTACATTTTAAACACAGTGTGATATGTCGATGTAAATGTATCGATGTATAATCAATTAGAACAAACTAATGTGCATTACATTTAATTATCTTGTCTAAAAGCTCAGCCAAATGCTGCTCATACGGAAAGTGTAATTTAGTAGGAGAGGCAACTCTCACATGGCTAGACAGTGGTGGAACTAATGTTGAGAGGCCCAGGTGCAAGGAATTTTATTGAACCCCCTAGCACCAGGGTATCCAAAAGATAGGTTCCTCTCTGTCATACATCTCCTATGATGAGTTGCCAGCTGGGGATCTACCATCTGCCCATCCTACAGGGATTTACTTGTGAGCAATGTTTGTATGTTTTTAATGTAAGCATATTTTTGTATGAAGTATGTGTATGAAGGTTGGGGGTCTATTTGTATATAGTGTTGGTATTTGTATGCAATTGTGTTTGTATGTACTGTTGCCACATGAAAAAAGTGACATAGTTGTGTGTAGTGTGTTTATATGCATGGGTGTGTCTGTAGTGTTTGTTTTTTAATAAAGGGGTTTATTTTTGTGTAGTTTTGGTGATTGGACGCAGGGGTGTGTTTGTATATAACTGTTGGTGTTTTAATACAGGTGTTTGTTTGTAAGTAGTGTTGGTGTTTGATTGCAACACACGCACACAGTGACACAGATACAAATTAACACACAGATACGCACACATATATTCCCAATGACACACACATATACCAATACTGGCACACACATACACCAACACTGACACATGCACAGATACATATACACACGGATACACATACACACTGACACACACACATGTCCTAATTTACATATTTTTAACCAACCCCCTGCTTCCGTACCTTTTGGATGCTGGAGGGTGGCTTCCTAGACTGGCGGAGGATAATGCCTTCCAATGCTCTTTGTCTGCAGTGCACTCCCTTCATTGTGTGCATGATACAGTATGCTGAATTTTTTTAAAAGCTGATAAAAAAAAAGTAAAAAAAAACTATTACCTTTGTAGATTACCTCAGATTTATTTTCCAGAAAACATTATATTTTTAAAGAAATAAAATTTTCTTTCCAAGTTGAGATTGCTTCATTGCTATTGTCAGGTGTTAGGGAAGGGATTCTCTGCCCGTTCATTTGTCACAGCTAAAGCGATATTGTAAATATGGATGTTGCACAATGTTAGCTTAGAATTTTAATCCCTCTAAGGCACTGGAAATGGCAGGCAGAGAAAACAGTTTACTAGAGGAGCTCACACATCCATAATGTTTTATTCCCACTGCTCAGAAAGGTAAAGATCAGTCCTTCACATCGACGATGAGTGATAAAAAGGATGTCAGAATACTCAAGATCATGATTAGAAAGACATACAGATGTTTGCTTTGTGTATAATCAGATACATGTGACAAAGTCTGCATGAACATTCCATCATTCTGAAATAGCCTCCGGTCAACCAATGGGATTGCAGCAGGACACACAAAAAAGACCATCGTAACCCTGTAGAGTAATCTCACTCCCACTGTCATATGTATCAGCACCAACAAACTCAAGAAAGGATTTCTTCCAGTATAAAATTAGACATATTTTCTCACAAGCTAGATATTTAGAGTACACATCATACTTAATTATTAACTACATTTCTATACAACGTGACAGTTATGCCTCTGGCTAAATAAGGCCAACTGCTTGCTCCGTAACTTTGGAAGATAGAAACGAAATGAGTTGTGGTTCACTACTGAATGATATGAATGCAGTCGACACATCCAGAAGGATCAAAACTGAAGAAAACAAATGATGACAGGCACTGATCAGAGGATCCACAACCTAAGAACATCAAGAGTAACTCAATTATACCAAAGGGAAAGAAAGCAGACTGACATATAGCAGTACTCTTGCGGGCAGCAGAAGGTACATTGAAACGGTTTTCTGCCGTAATATAATAATGTCTGGATATCTTTCTGATGTAGGCAATACATTACGACAAACACTCAGGCCAAACAGAATAGCAATATAACATGATGATCTACTCACATGTTTAAAAAAAGAGAAAACACGAGACACAGGAAATCTAATGGGTTGGTTGCCCTCTGATACAGTTCAGATAAACCAATTTCCGAATTGTACAGTGTTCCAGAATATACTGATACTGTATAAATACAATAAGAATTATAATTCCCTGAGTCAAAGTAGCATTATACTGGAAATGAAACACAAGGATTTTAACTTTCTTTAAGTTTAGCCGTACGTAAAAAATATATTTAAAAAATTTGATTTCTTTTAGTGAAGATGAAATTAAATCATATATTTTTTTTTTATATATTTAAGAAGTGAATAATTCTCAGGCAAATGTAGGATATCAATAAGAAACCCATTGCCACCAGTAATTTCTGGGACTGCATATTCTAAAATGTCATCAGAATTTAAGATAATATTTAGAAGTAAGCCTAATTCTTCCATTTCAGGTCATTAATGGGTTGTTATTAGAGTCGACAAAGAAACAATGCTGTCTCCTTGCCTCCTCTTCTTTCCCTGGCAGCTAGAATACAGCTGTGAAGTTTAACATACAATGGTTGCTGCAGAATGTTGGAGAATGGGCACTGTAACGGACCGTTTTGCCCACAAGAGGTTAAAAACCGTTTAGGCGATATTCCCCTTTCAGATGCACAGACAGCTACTGCAAGCACCACTCTCCCGAACTGCAAACTCATGAATTCACCAACTCCTGAACTGCAACCAAGGGAATACTCGAAACTCCCGAACTGGAGACACACGAATAGCTGCTAGCAGACGAACAGGAAAAGCCCCCAAGCGGCTTACACTCCTGGAAATCAGTCTCGAACAGCATACAGTAAATCCCCCCAAAGACGAGACGACACTTCGTTTTGAGGGTCAAGCAGGATCTGACTGTACTGGCACATACAGCCTCTTTTATTCACAATCCACAAACATAGCACCGCCCACAGGGTTTTGAAACACAGCCAATCAATCCATACAATACACACAGACACTCCCACACAAAATCCTCCCCTCTGCCTGTGATATGATTACTGAACACAATGGTTAATCTAATTATCACAGGCAGAGAAATACAGCACCATAAAACATATCACAGGGACCCCAAAACATGCAACAACCCCACAAAAAGTATATCCTCGGAACCGGGGGATCTGGGTGAACCACATATCCAAAATTCACCCAGATCCGTTCAGTACTTTGGAAGATACAGTTTAATGCAGATTCCACAGAACATATGCAGGCTATATGAAAAACAATTACTGCACAATGTGTCCCCTGTTGTATAGTCCAAAACCACTGCACGATGTCTCTGTGCACCAAATACCGGCGAGATGGCACCGTGTTGAAAAGTCCAAACAGTGTCTGTGAGTTAAAATGGCCGCCATCCATTGTTCTCACCATGTGCTTCATCCATTGTTCTCACCATGTGCCTCTGATACATGAAATGGTGGCCACCCAGTAACTCCACAGTATGTCCCCAGATGGTTCTTAAAGGGCCAGCAGCAGCACAACACAAATCCAGTATGCGCAAATCATGTCTTTAAAGGGCAATACATCCCAGGGGCCATAGTCACATGGCAGCAGGCTGGCAACCAGGCTTCACCAGTGCATAGTGGCGAGGTTGGTTCCGCCACAGGCACCACTTATATTCCCTCTGCAAAGATGCAGAGAAACATAATGAAGCAAGTACTGAGAAATTATTTTATGTTCATAGTGAAATCTAGTGCTATAGTAGTGAACAACATTTTTAAGGGCTACATTTCATTTTGCATTGCTTTAAAGCACACCACAAAATGTAGTACTTGTGGGGAGCGTGGCCTGACCAGCACGGCAGATGCATGTGTGAGAGAGGTGCTCTGCAGCAACCTGGGCTTAAAAAAAGCATCCTGAGCTGAAAACTATGGCATGGCTACTAAAAAACACTGCTCTACCTCTGATAACACACTGTCTAACCCGCCAGCAGCACAGAAAGCCTTGCTCCGGAGGTTTTTTAAGGAAACGAGCAGTGCAGAAGATGGGCCTAAGATGGCGTCTGGCGGTTGAATACAGGAAAGCCCGCCAGAGAGCCCTGCAGTGTCCGAAATCTCAGTAGAGTACCAGGACCTGCGCACAATTCTGTTTCAACTCCCTTCACTAGCGGATATGGGAGAAATGCTACAAAAACTGGAGGCAAGAGAAGGGGAAAAGCTGTATGCAATGGGAAATGAGGTGGAGGCAATAGGCATTGAGTAGGGCCCTAGAGGAAGACCTCTGCACAATGGGCGATATGGCAAGATGCCTTTATCAAAAACAAAATGAGGCACTATAATACCTCCATCGGAAATTGGATAATGTGGATAACAGAGGGAGAAGGAACAATCTGTGGGTACGAGGAGTACAGAGGCTCCTAATGGGACTACCGAGCAGGTATTTCAGGTCTTAGAGACACTGTTTAACCACGAGATATAATTTGCCGCTAAAATATCAAAGAGGATATTTTGAGACAGGCAAGATCACAAACGAATATCTCCTTTCAAGGCAAACAACACTCCGGACGATTACAAAGGCCCTAAGCGATTGAGGCCTTAAGAACAGATGGTATTACCCATTCTCGCTGTCAGTGACATACAACAGTAAGCAGTATACGATTGCGACTCCGGCTGACATATCAGCATTTCAGCGGGGACTGAACTTACCAGAGGAAAGTGTTGAGGACAGGACTGGACTTCAGCCCACCGATACCCCGCTGCAACTCCAGAGGGCGAGATGGCAGAAGTCACCAAAAAAGAAATGAAGACCCATAACAGAGAACAAGGACTAATGAAAGTCAGGCACCAGAGACCTGTGCCCCTGATATAAGGCATATCCTTTAACCTTTTATGGCACATAGTGCCAGACCACGTTGAACACTAAGATCATCACATCTCACCTTTGCTTATTTGTTATGGTTTAGCTATTTGTTGAATGCAAATTTATGCTCTTTACTTAATTAACCTGTTCAGTCCCATACCTGTTCAATTTTATAGGTTAAGTGATCCCAGAGATCCTAGGAGAACGCTATAGCCAAGTTGGCAGTAAGAGGCTTGTTATTCTATAATCAGACCAATTACCCATGCCGTATAATTATAATAGCGTTACTAAGGCTTTACAGCAGAGCTAACTATCTGCTTACTTGAGACTTAGGATACTAAAAAAATACAGTTGCAAGAAAAAGTATGTGAACCCTTTGGAATGATATGTATTTCTGCACAAATTGGTCATAAAATGTGATCTGATCATCATCTAAGTCACAACAATAGACAATCACAGTCTGCTTAAATTAATAACACACAAAGAATTAAATGTTGCCATGTTTTTATTGAACACACCATGTAAACATTCACAGTGCAGGTGGAAAAAGTATGTGAACCCTTGGATTTACTAACTGGTTGAACCTCCTTTGGCAGCAATAACTTCAACCAAACGTTTCCTGTAGTTGCAGATCAGACGTGCACAACGGTCAGGAGTAATTCTTGACCATTCCTCTTTACAGAACTGTTTCAGTTCAGCAATATTCTTGGGATGTCTGGTGTGTATCGCTTTCTTGAGGTCATGCCACAGCATGCCAATCAGGTTGTGGTCAGGACTCTGACTGGGCCACTTCAGAAGGCATATTTTCTTCTGTTTAAGCCTTTCTGTTGTTGATTTACTTCTATGCTTTGGGTCATTGTCCTGTTGCAACACCCATCTTCTGTTGAGCTTCAGCTGGTAGACAGATGGCCTTAAGTTCTCTTGCAAAATGTCTTTATAAACTTGGGAATTCATTTTTCCTTCGATGATAGCAATCCCTCCAGGTCCTGACGCAGCAAAGCAGCCATGATTCCCCCACCACCATACTTCACAGTTGGGATGAGGTTTTGATGTCGGTGTGCTGTGCCTTTTTTTTTGCCACACATAGTGTTGTGTGTTTCTTCCAAACAACTCAGCTTTGGTTTCATCTGTC